CCGATATATCTTCGAAACTTCTTTGTTAACTCACAAGCTTCTAGTGGTTTAATTATTCCAAGATGCTCTACACATTTTTAAAGTGAATCGTTGCGCTATCGTTCGATTCGATTATGGAAGGAACTACCGAGGGAATGCAAGACAGCAAGAAGTTTAAAAACATTTATAAAACTTATGCAGCAACTACTTCAGTTAGGTTAATAGGTACATCGGTAGTGTAAAAGTAGAATATACTCTGATAATCATTAGTAGATTACTTGTGCTATTATTATTGTAAATAACAAAAAATTGAACACTAGTGCCATAACTGGCACACTTATCCAAAACTACTTAAATAAAAACACTTTTGTTTTTCTCCGCTTATTATATTCTAGATAATAAATGGCTGCTTAGTTCAAAATGCAAGCCATATTCCTAAAAATTAAATCAGCATTATACAAAATTGCTTATTTCATTACCCAACATAAACATAAACGCTGATCCACTGTTTCCCCCTTCTGAACTCCACTATATAAGTGCACGCTAAATCCGCAATAAAACTCAGCAGCTGCCATAATTTCAAGGTGTGCCTGGCCAAGTTAATTGAGAGCAAACACGAACCGGAAGTTGTTCATCGGTGGTGTAGAAAAGCTCTTCCGTGTTTTCATTTTCCGTTTTAGCTTTCCTTTGCAGAATGCGCGCAATCTTGCACCTTGACTGAGCTTACTTACCACAGTCATCCTTTACCAGCCACGAGTCACTGGTCGCGCGCGGAAATCCGCGAATGCAATTGCTCATCGATGCGGTGTTTGCTCAATTTTCGCGCTGCCTTCGGGGAATCACGAACCAACTTCTGCACCGGGATCGTGACCTTGTCGATCGAACGCAAAGTGCCATTCTCCGTTTCATGGTGCTAATAGCTATTGTTGTTGCAGGCAGCGCACCGCACCATTGCAACAGGACACAGACGAGAGATAGGATACTGACTGCTTGACTTGCAAAATCATCGGGACGAGAAAATTGCGCGAATCTCTGGCAATTGTTGTTGTCATTGTGACAAGTTAAGAGCACTCTTGGTTTGTTACTGCTTTGCGCTTGAATTGTGTGCGGTGAATGGTTTGAGCGGGAGTGGGGAAGAGGAGGGCTTAGCGGACGCAGAAAAACTTTGTGATACTCTTTTACATTATGTAGTGTAGGTACGTGTACATTCGTAACAAGCCACCACCGTCAGTGCCGAGCAGCAACAAACAACGAGCCGGCAGTCAGGGGAAAGTACACTAGAGACAAAGTTTGCTCTTGGAAGGAAATTGAAAAATAAAATCTGAGCTTTATGGTCGCTTGAGTGAGCGAGCAAGCGTCTTCAAAGGGGGAGTTGTGACCGCCTACCAGAGCCCCCGAGAACGGGGTGGTAATTGAAAATTAGTCACAATCACTGCGGAGAAAAGTGTTTTCTGGTACAGTTATAAAAAAAATGGAATGGCGGTATCGTTATGGGGATTATTCTTCCGTTAGTTTGTATCATTGTTACGGTGGCTCTTATTCTTTGTTTGTCGGATAGATGCGGGGATAGTGTGCAGTGGCGGCAGTTTGATCCTACCGATGATTGTTTGCTATTGAGAGTGGGGAACGCTTGACGATGGTCAAGTTTTTAACGGTTCACTTCAACGGATAATTGAATCACTAGAAAGAAGCACAAAGTAAGCTTCGCCGAGTTGAAGTATTCAGAGCTGGCAAGCAATAGAGATAGACAGCAATTTCATAGAAAAAATTATAGCGGGTCTCAGAATTTCGTGAAAATTGGTATAGTTCCTCCTGATCAAAAAATATTAGACTCGTATTTTTACTCCACCATTAGGGTGACCATTTCCGTGTTAGGGTAGTCCAAAAAAATCGAATGACTGATTTTCACGGTTGACCCTTCAAATGAAAGATGTTTAAATTTAATTTTAAGGAAAATTATAAAACACTCAGGTCAGAGAGATTTGATTTTGTATGAAAAAAATACGTTACAAAAGCTTTTTCTTACAAGCTGGGTGCAAAATTCAGTTCAGCCTGGTGGCTGTCCATAAACCTCGTAAACCATGTTTTAGACATTGCAGATCCTACCTTCCCCCTCGTATACTTTTCAAAAAAAAAAAATTTTGTAATTTTCATTTTGATAATATTTTGATGTCCGATATTGCTCGGGTATCTATACCTGTACCTGATATTTGGACCAAACTCCTGGCTAGATCTGACACTCGTTTGAGTCACATTCGATGAGTTGTCTATGCTCAACTATTCACAATTGGTGCCCTTTCTTAAGGACCATCGTAAATGCTCGAATTTATGGACGGATCAAACCGATCGAGCACGACAATTTTGTAACCGTTTGTTACAAAACATATTAGATTTTTAATTTGTACATAGTTGTTAAATGTACCGTCACGTCTCTTAAGGTTATTTGGTGTTGGATTGGTAGGGTTAGTAGTCGTTGTATAAAATTTGTTAACTTGTTAGTAGGATTAATTGTTTTAAATTTGAAAATTGTATAAAACCGTACAACAGTACAGTGGGTATGAGTATTCTATCAGTGGGTACAACAACATTTGAGTGAAATTGTGATTTCGAAATGGGTGGAAAATAACATCTCACGAGAAGAGCAATGGGATGGGAAAAGCGCGAAGGAAAACCGCCATTCCTGAGTCAGTATCTGGCGTTCGTGTGCTTCGGATCGTTAAAACTAAGTGTCCTTAAAGTTATACAAAGTGAGTGGTGAATCGCGGGAATCTGTTCAATCAGGACCTTTTTGTGGTACCATTCGGTACAGCGCCATTTTGTGAACCAACCGACTAAGTCGGTCAGGAAGCACACGAGTCGGATTATTGGTCCTTAGTGGCTATTAATCCTAACAGTAAAGGACATCATTTCGCTTTGGCATTGCAAGGTCAAAATTGCCGCATTCCTCGGGCCAAGACGGCTCTAAACGGAAAAGAGGGCCCCTCTCAGCAGAGTCACTCCGGCCTTGCTTGGAATCTGGTGATTCTTGTCAACGAGGGTAGACGCCAGGAGACCGCAGATCGCCATCAAGTCAAGTCGATCTGTTGACCGATCCACTAGCAAGTAAATTCAAACATCACCACCCTGTCAGGCTCGTCATACGTAGGATCATCGGCGAGCGCGCGCACATCGGCAGAGTACACTGAGGCAAATAGACTTAAGAATTTCATAAGGCTCGAATTATGAACGACACATATGTTTTTCATAAGCACGACTTATGAAACAATTTTCGTCTTACATGAGGTAGCTCTTCTACGCCATTAGTCATTCCATTTTCCCAAGCGTTGACAGACGAGTGGTCCAGACATAGGACTCGTAATCTCTAAGTCCATGGTTCGGTTCCAGTCTGCTCAGTTTTATTATTTTTTTGTCGATATTATTTTTCATAAGGCAAATCAATGAAATTCATACCGATTTCTTGTGGCAAAAATTCATATGTGGTTCTTATGGAATTCTTACGTTCTTTTGCCTCAGTGTAGTCTTCGGCGGAGCAGAATCAACGGCAGCAGTTCAGTACCGGTACGTCAAACCCCCATAGTAAGAACCCACTGTACACCCATAAAATTCAATAGAACTACTATTAGAAATCCAATACACACCTGCTATAGCTTTTATTAGTAAATAATTAGTATACACCCTTTGATTACTGTGTCACTTAAACTTTTCATAGCTTTAAGTCAGGTGACAGTACTGCACATGAGGATCGCGAAGCTCCTCCAGATTACCCAGTAGTAAGCCGACCTTGAGACACAGCTCGAGAGGTTTCTTGCTACTGAGCGTTTTTACCGGGATACAGACAGTAGAGTTACAATTTATTTATTTATTTTCACCTCAAAAAATTCCGACGACCTCTACTGGGATTGATTTTAATTGCTTGAAAACAAAATCAGTTACCATACTGTATACTAAAAATTTAGTATAATATTACAAGCTTAATATGCCTTACACAAAATAATTCTCAGAAATAATCCATCTTCAGCTAGTTAGAATAGTTAGGAATATTTGTTTCTAAACAAGTTTCGATTAATTTTTAAAAAATGTTTTTTTTTCGTGAATTTAAATGATAATTTAGGGTCTCTAATTGATTAAGATACTTATTTAGTTTAAAAAAAAATTTTAACCTTTATACATACTAATAAATTATTTCCAACTTAGGTAATTTTAACCGGACTTTCAACAGCTGAACTGTCCGGTAAAAATCAGGCATTTTAATTCATTAGATTTAAGACTTACAACAAGGAAAATTTCAAAACTTCGCAAGACTCGACTATTTAAACAAGGCTAACAGTGTTTTGAAATGAATACTAAGTGAAACTGCATTTGAAATGAGGGTAAAATTCAAGCTGTTGAAAGTTCGGTAAAAAATTACCCGACTTCGTATTAATTTCTAAGAATGTATGCTTCAAAAAACTGATATCTGATAGAATAGTAAGTTTTTAAACCATCGATACCGATAAGCGTGTGAATATGTGTCTCAAACCTCTGGGAGCGACATAGGCCCTTCCCATTTCAACCCCCATTAGATACACCAATGTAGTTGTTTATACAAATGTAAAAACATCAATTTTCCAAACCATGACTTCGGACCCAACGTCAGTATTTTCCTAAACCGATTCCACCGGAAAGGCAAAAATTATTAACAAATTTGCCTTTTTTTTTAACTCCCTCATAATAACCTCCCCATTATCCCAAAAAATATGGCTTCATAAATTTCCCTCCCATTAGGTGATTAGTTCCAGTGGACTGGAGTTCCATGTCTACCAAAACAACCGGCAGTACTACGTAAACCATCGAACGCACCCCATGGGTAATAACGACTAGTGGACCACAAACCGACCGGGTAGTGAAGCTACCAGTCACCAACACCCAAACAGCACCCATTTCGACGGAGCTCCGGAAGATCCAATAACTTCCGCTTCCCATTAATCACACCGAGAAGTTCTCCGAAAGCACAGAATTACTCGCTCGCCATAGGTACCTACCGGGACATAATTTCCATAGAAGCAGCACTACCAGCAGGAAGCACTTTATCACCAACGAGGGTGGCAGCAGCCGTTGACAGGGCTCCGGACGGATCCATGGCTACCAGAGCCATGCTGACTGGTCCGTCACCGATCCGGTCGTAAACCAACCCACGGGAGTGGTCCGACAAAATTGACGAAACTGACAATGATGACTGAGTGCAGTTGCAGGCATCCATCGAGGACGGCAGGAATGTTACCGGTTCGCCGTCAATTTGGGCCATTATTCCAATGTAGATGACAAATGCCAACGAAAGGATGCCGCCGTACAAGGCTCCCTGTGGAAGGTAGGAGGAAGAATAAAAAGTGATGATTAGTCAAACAGGAAATTTGGAATGAAACACAAACTACATTTCCACCCGGTGAGGTTCAATATTTTTCCAATCCGTGATGTATGAATATTTGCTCCAATATTTGGATTTAATTTCCATTCGCTGCTAGTTCTAAGCGCAATCGATTGGGTTCGCTGATCCTAATCAGAACACACTCGTTCCGACGACCGGGACTTCCGCTGCTGCCAACGCTATAGATTCACTTCCCATTTCATTTCCATTCACGTTCACCGTCGCTACCCGTGCATGAATTGAAAATCTAAAATTCATGAGATCTTCTCCGCCACGCGCGAACACATACACACCCACACACATGCCATCGGAAATAATATTGTCATCAATTGTGTGTGCTTATGTGAACACAAATACTCCATTTTCTTGATCATGTTCCTTCCTCATCACCCGCACCTGCACTCCCGTTTATTTATCCACCGGTTGTTCAGTAAACAATCGTTATCCTCTTCCCTCCCACAACCACATCCATGTCAATCATTCGCACCCGATTTGATGGCGCGAAAATGGGTGGATTGCGTAGGGTAGAGAACTACTTAGGCATAAGCAGCCATTTCCGTCATATCGAGGAAAAAACATCAACGATTTTTACGTGAGCGAATCAACCGTACGTTTGGTACAATACTTTAGTTCAAAAGCTACGAAACGAAATCTATATAAGAACGCATTATATGACTATTTGCATTCATCATTCTCAAAAGCAAAAGAAGCGCTCCAAGCGAATCCATTTTTTTGATGTTTAACAAATTGTAACTCTTTATCAAATCCAATGGTACGTATGGAAAGGTACATACATTTGTAAAAATTCACATGACAGAAATTAGATCTTAACCCTACTGTGTGTATCTTTTTCCCCGGAAACGAATTCGTTTAGACATGCTTTCAGCGTAAAAGAAAAAAAGAAATCACAACAGCCCGTTGTCATCGTAGCAGAAGGTAGGACGCAGATAATTTAGGAGACTGAGATACAGAACCATCTCATTCGGAATCTCGGATTCCGGTGCGAGCGACACCTGCAACCTACGCGGAAAGGAAGGAAGTAATACCAGCAACCAGCACCACCCAGTATTAAATAACAAACGGCTTCGCTTGGTGGCACGCAAAACACGCTTGTGGCCCAACAAACGAAGCCGGAAAGGAATCTCGGAAATCCATTTTTCACTCAATTTATCCGCAGTGTGCTTCATTTACTCCCCCGGGTGGATGTGGAGATATGTCTGTTCGCGATTGTCATGTGGCGCGAAGGCAAGCGATGAAAATACAATCAATGCCGTTTGATCAGAGGTAGGTATCCTCCAAACTGGTGAATCCTTAAATTTTTACCATCGTGCATGGTAAAAACAAATCTGAATAATCGTGAAGTGCCATGCCAACAACAATATTTCAACTAATAAAATAATCACAAATTGATCAGTCTACGAACTCGTCCACGAAATATACTTCTTAATTTAGGTGTGCGCTAGTCCAGAAGTTCGCAAATATTTTCATGTTTTTTTCATAAGAGCTGGTAAATTTCTGCTGTTATTTGTTTTTCATAACAAGCAGTCAATTTGTCCGCTACATTTAGATAATGTTTAACAAAATGCACAATATGTGTAACATGCTTCCGATTTTTAAAGTGATTTTTGATTCGTTATTTAACAAAGTTCACTTGGTAAGCGTGATTACCTCTCACCCCAGCAGGCCTGGGTTCAATCCCAGTCGGCGCCGCCGGGATGTTCTGGTGGGTCGATAGGTAGGGTCCAGGTGTGGGAGCTGCCTTCCTGGCGTCGGAAGCATTGGTGCTCAGCACGGAAAACAAGATCGACGGAAAACAAATCAAGGAAAAAAATAAACATAGTTTAGATGAAAGAGCAGCAAAATGAGAGAACTATGTACATAAAAGCCTACTCTGCTTGAATTGCCCTTTCCGCGAAACCATAAATTTCAATCGACTGAATTGCTTCTCCCACGCAAATACAGTTGATCGTCAAATAATCGTATTACACTTTCAACGAATCGCGAATAGATATTACACAAACAATAAAATGTGAAAAGTTAAAAAGTTTTGCGCGCCCCTCTATTGTAGGAGAAATTGTTGCACCCGATGAATGTGTTCACTGCTGTTGATATAAATATTTAGCTCCAATTTCCGAATCAATAAAAAGCATTGATTTTTGCAACACCACCACCCGTTTCTTTGTCCACCAGGGGCCGTATACGCTAAAACACAAACGATGTTCATCCAATCGGTAATAAACGTTGGAAAAACACGGTCCAGCAGCTCGGATCTCCGAATACGTCAATGGCATGTCCGAGCCAAACTGGCCATCAGTTTGAGGAATAAAAATAAGAGCAAAAATCGGGAAACACCATTTCAATGGATGAACCAAACATGCATCCACGACAACCGTCGGACCAAATGAGCCATCAGAGATGCAGGGAACAGACCAACCGAAATGCAAAACAAAAAAAAATCATCCCGCTCACGATAGCAAATATCCGCCTTTGGGGAAAAATTGTTTAATCCACTTTTGCATTCGTTTGATTCCGATGGAGGGCTATACACACATGCTGGCTCTGCACCCACCTCTTTACATGATTGTGAATTTAAATGAAAATATGCGTGATGGGAAAACGAGATTTTCCTCACCCCAGTTTCCAATACGTCCAGTGAACAACGCTTGTTTGGGACCGCGGCGGGAGTCCACTATTTTAAACGTAAAAATTTATAGAACACGCACTCACAATAGCTTTCGCGAATTGGTTTAACTTGAGCTCTGCTCGGTCGAGCCCATCGTTATACATTGTGAGCATTGTATTCAGTTGGTTCGAGAAGAGCTTCAATTCGATGCGGTTTAGTGGGTGCGAAAAATTCATGATACAGTGTACACGTGAAATGCACCAATCCATTGTTTTATGGGGCGGAATTGAAATTTTTAAATTGGTTTAAAGAATCAATTATGCATTTTTGGAATTGAATATTTTGCCCTTTTTTAAAAGTTTAAATGCGCGTATCAATATCGTTAGGGTGTTGGAATTTAAGATGACTACGCTATCCATGCTAAAAAGATTGGAGGATTAAATTAACATGGTAAGAGCTGTACAAATACTTTTCACAATTTAAAAAAATAAATTAAATTAAATTAAATACGTGCCATTATTCAAAAGAACACTTTTGAAACTGGAAGTGTGTTTATCCAATTGATAGAGGTAATACATTCATGCGTGGGCGTGAGTCTCCAGACATTCTGAAATTGGTTGCTGGATCTGCAATAGATCTATCAGATAGTTCTTTCATAATAACACTGCCTGCCAGTGGGCGTTAGAGGGAATACACATACACTACGCAATCCATGTGATGATGATGATGATAGTGGTTTACCACCCATTGTAGCACGGAAACTAAGTCCGACAGCAGTGCGCTCTCTTCTCTGTTTTTCTTGATCAAGCTTAATAACTTCTGATTGTCCTCAACATGTCGCTGTATCAAGGGCCAAAAACGGATTGGGTAAATCGATAGGTAAAGTCGCCTATACGCATCTACGGAACAATAAAGAATCTCCTTCCAGCAACTTGATCGGCCAATTGGTCAAAAAGACAAGCCCCCAAACAGGAAGATGCCCCAATGAGGGGAGAGAAGAGCGCGCTCTTTATCCACGAAATGTTATCAACCGAGAGTTGGCATTCCCACTCTCCCCGTCCAAATCGCTTCAATCGGGTACCCTGTTGGACTGTCCCTTCTCTTCTATATATGTATTTCAATGTATATACGAGTTGATTGTTATGATTATTGTCAATAATACTTACATTTCGAAGAAGATCATGCTACTTATTTTACCTTTTGTGTGATACTTATCATCACAGAAACCATTCTTGAATCGTAGCCCAGGTCCATCAACAATACACTCGTTCCGAAACGGAGCTCTGTGATAAAGCCATATTCTTCTTCTTCATCATGTTCGCTCATCACCCGGCATGCATGCAAACGAAAAAGAGATACAACCAGGATTAGTTTTTTTATAAGAATGAGTAATAGTGACATTGTCTCACTCTGCGAATACCAACTTGATTATCCGCTAGGAAACACCAAAGTATATATTGAGATAAATCTCAAAAACACAGTTTTAACTGACAGAAGTGTATAATCATCAAACTGCCCAATATTGGACCCTGCCAACACACGGCGCCTGCACGGTAATGTGGACCGTCAGAATGGTTCATCGGTTGCGATGTGCAATATTTCCCAAACTGAAGCGATGCATCTCTCATTGTTTCAACTTTATCCTAACGTAATATTATCACCCATATGCCCGTCGAAACCCTAACCCCATCCCCCACACCAAATCAAATAATAGGGTTTCTGTATGTCAAACCCGAGAATATGGTTCTACACCCTATACGCTCTATGGTCCAAGCGAAGGGACTTTCACCATTCTCTTTTCTCACCCATATAATATGTCTGTATGAATCTGCTGTATGAAGGGCCAAAAACGGAGGGGCAGACTCTTTCGCGGAACTCTCGGAAATAGATCATGTCTTTCCAATAGAGACATCTCCCAACTCCACACAACAGAACGTATTATTAGCACCAGAATAAATTGGAACGGACTCGCCAAATCGAATCGGTCCGAGATAATCAGTGGTTGAATAACTCTCGGGTGGCAAATAGAACAAATAGTTGAAGGAACACTCCACACTACGCAATCCATGTTCTTCTTCTTCTTCATTCTTTTATTTAACGTCGATCTCTGTTCCGCAATCTAGTGCCAATCACCGACGGACACCATTGCAATCCATTGACGGCAATCGAATGTGCAGGAAGGCAGCTTCCACACCTGCGTAGCATATCGCACCCATTCAAACATACATGGGCCGGGACGAACGGCTTTACTTCCCTTCCGAAGGAAGACGTGACCAGAGATTTTTATGCCTCAGAAAAATCCCACCGACCT